AACTTTTCCAAGGAGGAGATTTTTAAGGTGGTTTGTAAATAGAGATTCTCTAATGAGGTGATGTATGAGCAGAGACTTGGAGCAGGGGAGTGGCAAAATTTCACTGACATTTTTGAAAGATCCCCTTGGCTGCTTTGTGGAAAATAGAAGACTGAGGCAGGAAGAATGGCTGGGAGGCTATGGAAGTCATCCAGATATGTACAAAAGAGTAGCTTGTGTGCACGAAAGGACACTATCAAGAGTGAAAGGCAACTTACAGAACGAGAGAAAATGTTTGCAAATATCTGATAAGGGATTAATATCCAAAATATATAAAGAACTCCTACAACTCAACAACAACAACAACAACAACAAAAAAAAAACAATTCAAAAATGGGCAAAGGACTTGAATAGACATTTCTCCAAAGAAGATACACACATAACCAAAAAGCATATGAAAAGATGCTCAACATCACTAGTCACTAAGGAAATGCACATCAAAACCACTATGAGTTATCACCTCACATGCATTAAGTTGGCTATTATCAAAAAAAAAAAAAAAAAGAAAAGAAAGGAAGAAAATAACAAGGGTTGTTAAGAATGTGGAGAAATTGGAATCCTTGTACATTGCTGGTGTGCCAGTAAAATTTTGCAGCCTCTATGTAAAACTGTATGGTGGTTCCTCAAAAAATTAAAAATAGAATTAACATATAATCCAGCAATTCCACTCCTAGGTGGATAACCAGAAGAATTGAAGGCAGGGACATTTATGCACTAATAGCAGCATTATTCCCAATAGCCAAATAGTGGAAACAACCCAAATGTCCACCAACAGACGAATGAATAAACAAAATGTGGTATATGCATACAATGGAATATTGTTCAGCCTTAAAGAGGAATGAAATTCTGGTATAGCTTGAAAACATGCTAAGTGAAATAAACTAAACACAAAGAGATAAATATTGTATGATTCTACTAGTGTGAATTGTCTAGAATAGGAAAATCCATAGAGACAAAAGGTAGAATTGAGGTTATCAGGGGGTGGGAGAAGAAAGGAATAAGGGGTTATTGCTTAATGAGTACAACAGAGTTTCTTTAAAAAAAAAAAAAATAGATGACTGGTAAGGGGATCTTAACCCCTGACTTGGTGTTGTCAGCACCACGCTCTCCCAAGTAAGCCACGGGCTGGCCCTAGTACAGAGTTTCTGTTTGGGATGCTGAGAAAGTTCTGGAAACAGGTTGTGGTGATGGTTGTACAACGTTGTGAATGTACTTAGTGCTTCATTGCGAAGCGTGCATTGCGAATTGTACAATGCTATGTTTTCAGAAATGGAAAGCAAATAGTTGATTTATCTAATTGTATTTGATGTTTTGTTATGACTTTGTAAAACATTTGATAACTTTTGAACCCATCTTTTTTTATAGACTCAAAAGTCATAGTTCTCTTAGACTCTTATACCAAACACCTTAATAAA